TCTTACATAAAGGAGAAGTTGCTGTGCTGGCTAAAAAGTTGGCACCACATCTTCTATTCAGAAGGCTGCATGCTGGTGGTGTCTGTTCAGATAACCTCTAGCTACAGTTGAGTAATACCACAAATGGGGAAAACCCCAGAGAAATAGGAAAATCCCGAACTGTTTGTGCATTGTGCAAGTATATTTTGCTTAGGCTCTTTGCCAAAGAAGATATGAATCAAAGATTCTCCCTGTATAGGAGTAAAATGTACTATCATGTTCAGGACCTTATTTTTGCATACAAGATGCCCTTGGCATTTGTGAAAGGGGAAGAAAATTTCCATTCTGGTTTTAGATTGTTATGTTTTTCTATTGCACTCATCACTGAAAATTCCTGAAAACAAAAGATACAGAAAGTGGGAGAGGAACTTGGTTAATTCATTTGAGTTATTCTTTCAGACAAATGGTCTCCCTGGACTGTTTTGCAAATTGATTGTAAAAGAAAATACCACCCCCACCCACTTAGTATTGTACAATAAAAAGAAACACTTCTTAAAAAGAGATTGGTCTGTGAGCAAATGTTGCTGTAACTGGCAAGTGTTTGTGCAAATATTTGATAATTTATGTAAGCCTTCGCAACACCTCCTCACCCAGAACACAACTGAGTGCCCAAGAATGAGAAAACATCTGCCATAGGATATTTCTTTCCTATGGAAAAGACAAGAAAATGAATGTAAGAGTTCAGATTATAGGATTCCCCTATGCAATAGTGAAAACCAGTAATTAATTACGCTAGACTAAAAGGTATAAGAGGATTTCTTTATCATGCCACAGCCCACAGAAGTTGGTGCTTTGGTTTTCCCCCTGCAATATATGTAATTTAATTATTTTACATTCAGTTTTCATTTTTCAGGTGTCATAACAGGAGGATGACCTTCTCTAATTAAAAGGCTGAACCCTCTGATTTTTGTGAGATTTTTTTGTTGTTTAATTCAGTGTGACCTTGAGTTTTTAATGTAATTTTTGCACTAAGGTTGTAACCAGAAAGAATAGTTAGAGAAGTTAAAGATGCTGTTCTAAGAAATTTTGACTGACAATTAGGAACTCTGTCAAGCCACCTAACCAAAGTATTTTCAACAGTCTGGCTGCAAAATGGGAAGTTAAAAATATGGAAGTAATTTGCTGAATGATCAGCTGTCTTCAGTTTGAGTTCCCAATTTAAATAAACTTATTTTTTTCTGTTGTGAGACAGAACCAGGAGCAAAAGAGCAAGGCAGGCCTAAAACTTGAGAGAGTATAAAAGGAAATTTATTAACTACACAAACAAAAAGAGAGGAAAAAAAATTCAGAATAAGATTTTTCAGATCACTCCTTCCCTCCCTTTCCCAATCTTCATAACAACAAAACAAACATAACAAATACTTCGGTCAGTGCCCAATTTAGTCTTTCTCAGTTCACTTCTGGAGAGAAAAGCCTCTTCTTGTTGAAGTTGTAGGGATTTTTCCCACAAGAAGGAAAAAGACAGTTTTCTTGTGGTTTTATTTTTCACGATTTGCATCTGCCTGGGAACCTGCAACTGTGACGCTCCTCCCAACTCTACAGCCATCCCAAAGCTGTAGATGTGGGCCATGTTTGTTTCATGGGGTATTACTTTTAAGAATGAAATGCTCAACCGCAAAGATTCTCTTTGTCTCCTTTCTTTCTGCTCAGGCTTCATCTTCAGAAAACCAAAATCCCCTTCTTTTTCTCAGGGCAGAAATTCTCAACACAGGTGCTCTTTAGCCAAATCATCTATTAAATGGAACATTTCCTTCCCCCCATGTCTCTTTCCATGGTTTATAGGAATATTCAGTACATCAGTTCATTCCTACAATTTCACAAAAAGATTTTCAGCCATTTCAGCATCTTCTCATTCTCCTTCCATCTTAAAACCTTAGCTCTTACATCACTGACTTCAGAAATCTTCTTATTCCCGTTCATATTCAAAGGAAAGGCTGCAAGCTTTGCAAATTTTATCTGAACACTAAAGAGTTAAAGTTTAACACAACTACAAGAGTTGGGCCAGGCTCAGGCCGCGCTGGGGGGGCAGCTGAGGTGTCACTCAGCCTTTCTGGGGCTGGGCTGCAGCCCCACACTGCTCATGGCCACCCGGGCAGGCCCGGCCCGGCCGGCAGCAGCAAGAGTCGGCCTCCCCCCACGCCAGAGCCGCGGGCCCGTGGAGGAGGAAGCTGTGAAGGTCTTATCACACAACTTTTTCTCCCCCCGGCCATCGGGTCCCCCTCGTTGGCAAACGGGGCCCAAGCGGCCTCCCGAGCCTCCCCCACCCCGCATGGGGAGGGGGAAGCTCGGGTTGGTGTTACCTGCTCAGCCGCCGGAAAGACCAAGAGGCTCAGCTCCGGATTACCTTCCTCAAAATGTGTGTGCACGGAGCGAACTAACTTTCTTTCATTGGCTGTTGCAGGTATCCCAACCCCCACAGAGGAAATTCCCTTAGGAAGAACCTCTTCTGAGTTTCTTCTTCCTAAGTCAACCTATGACATCAGCCTCATGAGAGATTAATTTCTTCCAGTAAATGACTGAGAAATTAGTTGATCCAGCAGTTGGGTTTTCTCAACAAAAAAGTGTGCTCCCTAACTCACTCACTTGATTTTTCACAGTCATTTTGTATATTTGGCTATTCCACTTCCTAGGGCCATAGACAACCTCAAGTAAATTGACTCAGTTCAAGTTTTCTTGCAGCACACTTCTGCAGGATTTAATAAGAAATAATTTAAAATTAGGACTTTGAAACAACAGTTAAAAGTCGGGTAGTTTTATATGAGCTGACACGTTCCGCTTCTATTGGCTTAGTGTCGCGCTGAATAATTCAGAAAACTATTGTCTTCTTTTTATTGATGAATGAGCACTGGGAGCATCACCAAACTACCAATGAAGCTTATTTTGGGGGGAAGGGGACCGAAATGGTTAATATTTAATGAGATTAATAATTATATTTAATGATATTAATAATTATATTTAATGATATAATAGTTAATATTTCTATGATACAGAAGAAATTAGGTCTTATCAGTTACCACTTTCAGTTTCTCATGGGGATGTGAGGAAATTATAAAACCATTTAAATAGAAGTATCCCAGTTTTAGAACAGTTATGTAAAGAAGTTTGGTATTCTTTATAGAATCATAAAATGGTTTGGGCTGGAAGGGAACTTTAAAAGTCGTCTGGTGTCCTGCAGTAAGCAGGTACAGCTCCAACTCGATCAGGGTGCTCAGAGTTCCATCCAACCTTGAATGTTTCCACCATCCTCACTGTAAAACATTTTCTTACGTCTGATTGAAATCTACTCTCTTTTAAAACCATTACCCCTTGTCTGCTTGCAACAGACACTAATTTGAGTTTCAATGTAGTATGCTGTAGAAGCAGCCAAAACAGTATCTCTAACAATGTCACAAATAATTTTTCTAATCTTCAGTCTATGACAGTATGTAACTACATCTGTCTTATTATAAAATGTAGTTTAAAATACCACCTTTTATGCATTTGCACTTTTTTTGACTCATAATAACAAATAGGCAATAGTAAAAGATGACAACTTATGTCCAAAAGTGATTGTTAAAAAAAAGAAGCCCCAAAAGGACAGAAGAATGAGAACTGATACAGGCTAGACTGGTTTTCTAAAGGCCTCCTTTAAGAAGGAGCTTATTTAGCTCAAATGAAAATCTGTCATGAAGGAGAGGACACACTTCTCAGGTACCCCAGGCAGCTGCCAGAGGGGAGTGAATATGCTGCCATTTCTTACCTGCTGCAATAATATGGTTTTGCTCTGCAGCTTTGTTTCTGAGGAGCACAGGATTCCCTGTGGATGAAAGCCTCCTGGAAAACCAAGCAATAGTTATTTTATGATGTGCTAATGGCTTGTCCAGGCTGTAGCCTCTGTGTTTCAATTCAAGAACTTCTAAATGTCCACTTGAAGACTTGCTGGCTCTAAAACTCATGGATTGTTGGCTTGTTGACAAGGTTCTAAAATGTTTTAAGTCTGAGAGCTGCCATCCCGTTTGAGAGCAGAGGAGACAAGGCGGTGCCTGCTACTTTTGTGGGTGTGATAAAAGTATCTCTGTCAACAGGACGATGCTTTTAAAGGAAAGAAAAGGGAACATATATTCTGTATTCAAGAGAATTCTGGTATAAGAGTTATGTCAGAAACTTGAATGCCAGAACAGCAGCAAACAGTATTTGCTGGCTAAGGAATAGCCTTTCTTTAGAATGTCATACATAGCAGTCAAAGTAAGATTTGTTATTTTTGTACTCTACAAAATTTTAGTGTGTGGTTAAGTGTTTATTTTACTGGGAAAATGGATGCAGTCTGTCTGAAAGATAGCTGGAAGCTGTTAGAATCTCAATGCCAGGTTCACTTTGCCTTTTACAAAGACACTTTCCCTTGAACACAATAAGTACTGTGGCTGAGTTAATTTAATTTTCAGTCTTCTAAGCCAGATGTCAGAAATAAAAAGTCTTATTTCTAGACTGCGTTTGCAATTTCAAATAATGCTTCCTTTCTAGTGGGATCTTCTAAAAATAATATAATATTCAATAATGTTCTAGATATCTTCCATTATAAAATCATTGGGTTTCTTTACTCTGGTATGAACAAATCCATCATAGAGTTTAATGAAGTAATGCATAAATTCTTGGTCAGTAGGAATGGCAGTACCTGATAAAATTATGTCTTTATTTGATGGAACTCTTGTACTTGTTAGAAAAATTAACACACCTCAGTAGAAATACATGAAAATGAGGATAATGCTGGTCTTGTGTCCCCATGCATATCAGGCTGTCATATGCAGCACTGATGTGCTTTTTCACTGTATTGGAAAAACATTTTTGTAACCTTGAAAATTATTTCTGTTGTGGACTATGAATATATTTACCTGCTTAAGGTATGTTTACTTTTGTACAATGATTGAGCAATATTTATTTTTATTATTACCTCAGCTCTTAAAATATTTTGTTTCTGTTTGCAGGGGATTCACTGTAAAAGCAAACCTTCTGGTGAGTACACATCATTCACATTTTTCCTATATTTGTTTTTAAAGATAATTTATTAAAGATATTAAGTCCACTATCCTAGTGACATCAGATCACTGCCATTACAGGGTATTTACCACCAGTTCTTTCATAAAAAGACATTGGAAATTGGTAGGATCAAAGTTATTATTGTCCTTACCATAGTGAAGGAAAGAGATTTTGCTAAGTAATTTTACATGTTTTTATTGCTTTTACTCATTACTGATATTGCCTATAGTAATAATACAGGGGGTTGAATTACCTGAACTCTGAAGCCTCCATCAGTTACTCCTCCAGTGCACAGAGTCATTTGCAGGGAAGTACAAGGCAGCTGCCTCATAAACAGTACCCCCTGAAAGGACAGTCACAGTCCCCTCCGAAAGGACAGTCACAGTCCCTGAGAGGACAGTCATAATCCCTTCTGAGAGGACAGTCACAGTCCCCCTGAGAGGACAGTCACAGTCCCCTGAGAGGACAGTCATAATCCCTTCTGAGAGGACAGTCACAGTCCCCCTGAGAGGACAGTCACAGTCCCCTCTGAAAGGACAGTCACAGTCCCTTCTGAGAGGACAGTCACAGCCCCCTCTGAAAGGACCATGCTAGCTGGAGGCTCAGCTCTGGGCACTGATGGTCTCCACAGTGCATTTCCTGAATCCAGGTGGCAGTGAGTACATAGACAGGGAGAAGATGTGATGCTGAGCTCAACATGTGGGATGCTGATGCTATGGCACGGGGCATGACCTCAATGTCAGCTGACACGAATTCCTTACTCAAAATGCATGGCATTTATGGGACTGTGCTGAGGTGGAGAGAAGGAATATGGAAAGGATGCAGTTAAAAGTCCCACCAGAAAAAATCTTTAGTCTTCTGCTGGTCAGCAATGTGAACCTCTGGTGGCTGGTTCAAGGGTTGTGAATGAATCTTGTTAGGATTCGGCAGCTGAGCTGGCAGTTGCACAAACTATGTGGAAGGTAGAAGAAGAAACAGGAGTGTTGACCCTTGCTCTGCTAGCTGAAGCATGCCTTTACGTCCTTGAGCAGTACAGGCTGAGAAAATCAAGCCCTTCAACCTGTTCTCAAAGGGAAGAACATCCGTAATTCTGTTGGTTATGAGTTAAAATCTGTGCTGGGTGTTACACAAATGCAGATCTAGATAGTGGAGACTCACAAGTAGCACGAGGTGGTGATTCATTCCATCCATTTTAGGACAAGGGGATTTATATGCTGGAAGAGAGGCAAGAGGGGTTGTCATTCTATTGACTGCCAGAGTTGCTCAGATCACAGACACAGCCTGGCTGAGGTCAGAAGGGACCACTGGAAGTCATCTGATCCAACCCCTGATGCAGGGACATGCAGATGATGCACATCAGATAAGCTACATGTTTCACTCTTAACTGGAAGGGCACTGAAGGGTTTGTAAACTAAAGATCTATATCTTTGAAGACGAAATGCATAAAGGTGTTTATAGGTTTTTCCGTGCTGTCTGAGAAAAACTTATCAGCTACCTTTAACACAAGAAACATGTAGAATGACGCAGCCTTACAGGGGTGATGAAAAAGCATTTTTTGTCTTCATCCTAATTCACTTGTGCAACAGTGGGTGTATACTCCTTTGCATATTTCCTTTTCTATATTATTTTTTAAAATTATTTGTTATTTGAGGTAAAATTACCTTAAAAGACCTTAACTATATAGCAGAGGACCTTTGCAGTAGTAATTCCTTTTAGCTGCAACAAAAAGATCTTTCCTAAAATTTGCAGCCACAACCTCAGTAGTATTTGGCAGTATGGCTTTGATTCTGCCTTCTTCCTCCTGGTCTTCTAGACTGTTAGGTAGCACAAAAGAACTACTGTAGTAATTGAAATTCACTGTAATATATCCATACATTGATATCAAAATTTTGATGATTTTTAAAAAATTACATTTTCAGAAAATATATATTGCACAGTATATCACTGTGTTGTTCAATCTCCTTAAAAGTTTGAAATATTTTCTGAACACACAACCATGAAACCCTTTAAATTTACTGTGCATTGCAACCTATTGTGAAAGAGAGGCTGTCAGTCTGAAATTTAATCAATTTCTTAATTGCATTAAGTACTTTCAAGTAGCGAATTTTGGTACTTATTAACTGAAGGGCACCATGTGGTTATTGTAGGAGAGCATATCTACTTTGTTGATGAATTTTGTTGAATCACCCTAATGAACAGATGCAGCAGATACTGTGGTAAATCATATGCAAATAGGTTTGAAATACTGCTGTAATTTATACTCATGGAATGATATGCCAGTGAAGCAATTGTAGTTGGCTTTAGAGATGGTCACAGATTTAGCACTGTCAGTATCCTTAAGTAGTTCAGATTCTTACAATACTTGTAGGGAAGACATATCAGATAAAAAGCCAGTTAGGATTTTCTATTGGGTGCTGTCCCAGTCTTGGTATTAATAGGTTTTCTCTTTTTTTTTTTTGTTTTTTTTTGTTCATGCTCTTCTCCAATTTCATCTTCTTACCTGAGGCTTCTAATTATCCATCTATTCATTTCTATTGCATATTCATTTCTCAGCTCTGGCTTCTATTATCTAACTGCACATTATGTGTGATTTGCTGTCATGACAGTTCTAGGTTTATTGCTGCATCATCAGATTAAAAAAAATTATCTGCTGTGGTTGAGCTGATGGCAAAAGTACAAGGAAATGTCTACATGCTCAATAATAAGCCTTGATTTCTTTATGCCTGGGCTTATATGTGCCCATAATTAAGGAACCTTTTATTAAAACAACAATCCCTCTCTCATGTAGGGCTAATTACAGCTATTATTCATAAACACAAAATTTAGGTAATATTTACTCAACAGATGGTTTATGTAGCAATATGTATCTTTATGTCTTCTGGGGTATAGATAAAACTACTTGTGTGAAAAGGAAAATGGGGTGTGTTCCAGAAGAAAATACCTTAAGGGGGGATTAAAAGATGATAAAGAAGGAATTTACTGAAGAATTAGTCAGAAATGAGTCTCATACTGTGATGATTTATGCAATGAAAATTATTTTCTGTCAGGTCATCCTTGTATCATGTATTTACTGTAATCCAATGCTAGTATCCCCATGCATGATATGATCTATTTACATTATTATCAATGAGTTTAGCAGCATGTTTTGCAATTCTCAAAATCTATCATAAAATTAATGGAAAAAATCCAAAGTGGAAGTGAAATTTCATTTTACTCAGTGTACTACATATTCTCAGTTTTAAAGTAGAAACTGTGATCAAGAGCAGTGTCTCTGCTGACAGGACAGCATAATGTTTGTGCATCTGTCTTATGCTGATCCAATGTCAGTAATGCACCCAGGTTGACTTAGAATTCTTGTGAGATAGTTCCAACACTGTGACATCTGAAGATATCATACCTCAGGCTGCAATAGCTAAGGAGAAAATTCAATTAAGTCATGACAGAATGCTTTGTAAAGAACTGTCATCCATCTATCTATCTATCTATCTATCTATCTATCTATCTATCTATCTATCTATCTATCTATGCTCTACCTATCTGCATACATATGTTTACATACATTGCTCTCCTATGCAGACATGGGAATGAGCCAGATTGTAAGCCTGGATCAAGGAATTTACACTAATAACCAAAACTTAAGCAGAAACAGTCACTCCCAGATACTACTGGGTATCCACAACTGCATCTCATATGATGCAGTCAAGGAAATATCTTCCTGAGCAAAGAGACAGAGCTCAAACTAATCATCACTTAACACATTATTAGTAATAGTTATCAAGTAGTTCTGCAATATGATAAACTCCCAGTTAGTAGTGGGTGGATTAATTGAGTGTTGTACAATAACTTTCCATCCTGAGATACCTTCAGGATTATTACCCCACCCATTCTTGGAACATGGAATACAGCGTTCATATCCAGCTGCTGTGCACTGTACTTCTGAGGGCTGTCTCATCTCTGTGGAAATGTTTATAAATTTTTCAAAAGTCAATGTACTCCAACTACTCTTAAAGCCTTATGTGTATATTTTGAGTGATCTGTGTTTTTCATTGGTTTGCATAAATTGTTTTCTCTAATTGCCAGTATTTATTTGGATAATTCAGAGTTGACCAACTGCCAGTTGAGTGTTCCTGTTTTCCCATGCTTTTCCACTTGGTTCATATCAGCATATCCTGTTGCCTCCAAAGTAAGCTCAATGACACAAAACCAGGCTAACAGAGTGGAGATTTGGGTGTGAAGGGTTTGTCTCTTCTGACTGTATGCATGTGATATGTATCATGCAGGAGTTATTTCTCCTGATTCCAAGTGTGAAGGCACTTAAGGCTTAAGAGATTTAAGCAAAGCTGCCACATTTATGTCAGCCTGTCTTCACATGCTGCAGTATCAGTATCTGATCTTTGACAATGGGCTTCAGCTGCAACTGGACACTGGGAAATGAGAAGCCCAAGGAATGTATTGGGGATTAAATCCACTGTACCAATATAAATTCATAAATAAATAACTGATTTCTGTGTAGGGCAGACTGAGAAGTAGAAAGAGATTAAATATGCTCACTGATGAGGTTTGGGGCCTTAAGACTACTTTTCCTTTTATACTAGCCTACAATTTTAGCTCTGCAAACCCATTTCCTAAGGCTTTGGAATACCTAAATTCACAAAGGGAAATAGAAGAAGACATAGTAGCTGTGTTCTGTGCCTTGAAGAAGGCGTGGATAGTATTTATTTTGCTCTTGTTGTTCTGGTCTAAAGCAGAAGGAAATCCTGTAGGTGTAATGTACTCTTCCATGACTAGGAATGCAATGGTGCCCTCTTGCGTGAAAGTGAAATTTTAACAGCAATGGAGACCATCAGAAAGTCCTAAATTTAAAGTACTATTATGAGAGTGCTCACAATATACAAGTAATGGTTTTGAAAAAAGTTTATATAAACTATTAGTTTAGCCATGATCTAGCAGATCTAATTAATTGAAAACAGTATTAGTCTAGGTGTGTTCTGCTAATCTTAGTTGTTAGAAGTGTGATTGTTTTCTCTTGTGGGTTAACATTTCCCTAAGCCTGGACATTTATTCCACCCCCCTACATTACTAGTGAAGCCAACTAGCTACGTTGGCCGTGTGAAAGTCTTAGGTAAATTACTGGCTTTGTTGGTCAGTGGTGACTTTCTTATTGATTTCAGGAGAGCTGGAACTTCCCCTGTAGTGCTTGCTCTCCCACAGACATCCTGTGTGCAATGAGTTTTTTCTGTCCTTGTGTTTGCATTTGCAGGTGGCATTTTTAACAGCTTCTGCCATGATGCTCCTGCATCTTTATCTTCTATGGTACTGAAAAGCATGAAGATCTCAACAGTGATGAAATGTGTCCAAGGAAACCCATGTTCTCTTCATTTAAACATTAAAGGAACACTGAGTTTGGATGGTAGGAATCAGCTTTGCTACTGAGCCCTTTCTGTTCACTTTTTGTTTATGGCCGTTCAGACAAAATGTGTTCCATATTGTAATATTTGAGACCAAGCTGGTTTCACGTAATGTTATCAGAAAAATATTTTTGTGAAAGCATTTTACTGTAAAACAGGATGAAATTGTGACCCTTCTCAAGTGACTGAGAACTGAGATAATGGATTTTGCCTTCCATTGTAACACATGTAACATGTCCTCTGCCAGTGCCCCAAGCACAGAGCTGCCCTTTTCTTTCTTGCTCTGACATCCATGCAGACACACACACTAATTTTGTCTGCTCTGATAATCTGGACATGAGTGACTACCCCTACAGAAGGAGAAAAGTTTATTCATCTGAAGTTACAGTTCTTCACTAAAATAAAATGAAAGTACACGAACTTCCTGTGGATAGTCTATTTTTACTAACACCTTACCATTCATGTGCTTCAAATGTTACCATTTAGATATTTCCTAGTTGCTTCACTTAGAGTTAATGTTTATTTTTAAAATTTGCATAATTAAAAGTTCACTTACAGCAATCTGCATTAAATTCTTGTTCCTACTCCCATATGTGAGTTTTATATAATGTCCCTTTTTTAGCAGAGATAAAATACATGTGCCTTTCACTTAGAAGGAAAGCTTATGATATGGTGTATTTTAATTTATGTTTTTGATCTTCTTAAAGATGCTTAAATTGTACTTTTGCAATCTGTTCCTAACTAATTTCAGAGAATATCCGTGGGCTGGAAATATGTTCTTTTTCATTGGACACACAGCAATCTCAGTGCATAAATGTGAGATTCACGAGGAAAAAAAGCAAGATGCTTAATGGAAAGAAGGTAAACTCCTTTTTGAGGGGGAGTAATTTTCCATTTAAACGCTTACAAGCCTTTGGGAAAAAATATCTTTTGTATCTCTCTTATTTTTTTTCTTATTGACTTTGTGGAAAACTACAATGAAACATATACTTCAGCAGAGTCAAATAAAACTCCACAACAAAATTCTCTTTTACAACATATAAATTCAAATTTCCACCACCTTTGTACTTCTTCAACTTACCTTTTGACAAGGGAACTTGTCTCTGCAGAGCCTAATTTTCATATCAGTCTTGCTAGCTTTCTTTTTGTGCCCTCCAAATTGTGTGGAAGCTTTTCTGACTCCAGTGTCTAGGAAGAACAAAGCTACAGAGATTTTAAGTGCATATTACTTCAGTCAAACCATGTCAATGGAGTTTACACATCTAGAAGACAGACAGGTTCCTAAGCACTTGTGCTCATCCATCCTAAGCCCTTGTAAGGGGCAGTATTTGTTATTAAAATTTGCAACTGAGGGAAAAAGGAACCACCCTTGACTAACTGTTTGAAAGGCATGAATTTTTTGCAGTTACTGGTGGATAATGGTTGCTAATCCTATACACAATGTGTTGCTTCATGTGCTTTGTACACTTTACACTGATTGCACATGTGGAACAAAATTCTCCCAAACTGCAGTAGCAGTTTGCACTTGGTGTCACTTGATGGAACATCCATCCCTATGGGCAATGCAGGGCCACCAACCAGCAACCATCAGCTCTGACTGTAAGGCAAGTTTATAGGCAAGAGTCAACAAACATATTTAATGAAATTTTCCTAGTTTCAGTTCAATGATGAAAATGGTGACATAAGACATCTTTTACCCTCCAAATGCCTTTTACCAAATAGGAGAGTATCCAACATGAAAACCTAGATGGAATTTAACAGCTAACTGATAGCAGTGAGGGAATGACCTGCTATAACTGGATGTCAATTTTTGTTTCTTAAATTACTTTCTGTCTCATAAACTATTACTGTAATTAATAAATTTTCTGAAGTTGCCATAAATATTTAAACAGACTTTTTTTTTTCCATTCTGCAAATGTCTGTGCTTGTAAAATGCCTATAGATTGGAGCTTTTGATATGTTTTTGCTTTTAGGATTATTTGATATCTCGTAGATATTTGTATTTTTAAAAGTGACGGTGATAGCAACATCCTGGATTAGAAATAATGATACTCTTTGAAATCCTGTTATTAAGTTGTATCTACTTCTTTTTCATTCCTAATGCTACCTTATTGACTGCTTACTGCTGCTTTTAAATATAAATATATCTGAACAAAGAATAATTCTTTCTTAAATATCTTAACCAAAGGTTTTTCTGCATCTGGAAGACGTGTGAACTCAGTTTTATGAATGTTTTAAACAGGTACAGGTAGAGTTCAATTGCATTGAAGTCAATGTAGCACAACACATCTATGTGACCATGAAAACTGTACCACATTACTGTGAAGTCAAGCTGAGTCAGCAATACTATGTTGAAGGTAGGAAAACATCTTAAATCAGATGTTTTTTAAGAAATATCTTGTCAAACAAAAACCCCCCTCAAAACAAACAAACAAAAAAACCCTCTAAGGAAAAGCACATCCAACTCAGATTCTGGGATACCACTAACCTAACTGATGGTAGATCACATATGCCAGGATGAGTCTTAGTTTACGTTTCAGTGATTTTTTTTGTTAGCAAGTAAAGGTCTTGACTTGTTGTAAAACCCAGAGCTGATATCTAAAAGGATGTAGAAAACTGAATTTACACTATGCATTTGTCCCTGTTGCCCTTCTTGTGATTGGCACATTCTCTTGCTCTGCCCGCAGGTTTAGTCCTGCCTGCTCTCTGTGCCTCAGATGGAGTTTCTGCTTCTCTGCATGGGTGGCCCAGGGATTGCTTCAGAATCTGAGGAAAGCTTAATAAGAAAGTCTATAGAAATTTATTTTTAATTATAGAACTAGCTGTTCTATAGCCTGTTTACATGTAACTGGGAAAGATCAGGTAGCATTTTTCCATATTTTTGGGGTGAAGTGCCCCCACATTTTTTTACAAATTATGCCATGTGCATACAAAAATAGATTCAGTGGTCCAACCAAGATACAGTGTGGCCAGAGAAGGAAAAAGCAAAAAGTTACATGGGACCCTTTGTTTGATCCTGTACTTGGGATTGTCCTTCCCATCTCCAGAGCCCATGGATGAGCGGTTCTTGCCCTTGCCCTTGGTGCAGTGTCATCCCTGCTATATGGTTTGACACTTTGGTATAAGCAAGGCCTTTCTGTGTTAAAAAGCCTTTAATTTTCTTATAAATTCGGATTCATTATTGAAGTATATAAGAACTTTGTGAGCAAAGAGGGGAGAAAACAAGGTTTTATGAAGCCCAGTTTTAAGATATTACCAGGGCGAATGAACAAATGAAAATAGGAAATATTTCTTGGTGGAAAAGAACTCTGTGGGGAAATTAGAGTAAAGCGCTGCTCCAATACTGTGTTATGCAAGGAGGGGTGAAAGCAACACATGAAAAGTTGTTTTAATGTTCTTAAAAGTTAATTTCTGGAGAGAAAAATACAAGATGTTATAAAAGCATTGCCTGGCTTCTAACTCTGGTAAGCTCACTGTAAGCTACATAGGGTTTTTCCTTCTAAGGCTGGAGTCAGAATAGCAAAAATACAGAATTATTCATGATGGAGAAATGAGCCTGGTAAGCAACAGGAGCTGTTTTTTGAGGAAAAAGTAACCAAAATTAATATTATTACTCAAATTATTTTTAGGTTCTAGGTAAAGAAATGTGGTTCTATATCTGCAACTGGAGCCTTAACTGATGCTGAGGTTTCCAAGTAGAAACCCCAGACTGGAGAGATAGATCCTTAGGGCATATTGTGATATAATCTCTGTGTGGGAAGAGTACTTATCGTTTTTGCTGTTTGTCTAAAAATGTATGTAAATCTGCCTTTAAAAAGAGGGATGAGAGAGGTTGTCTGTTGGGAATCTATTGGATAATTTGGCAGTTTGTTTATACAGTTATGTGAATAAAGCAGCACTGAGACAAACTCTGCCTTCTACTTTGCAGACTGCAGAAACAGTGATGTAGGAAAATATATTCCAGCTTGTTCAGGTGAGCTGATCTTCTATGCAACTTAGACTTGTAAGATATTTCCAGTGACCTATACAATGCCATGTTGTCATACTTAAATGAGCAGGGAGAAAAAATTATGATTTCCAACTACCACTACTTATAATTACCATGTAGCTGATAGGCAATGTTTTGGAAATATATGTCTGTTGAAAATGCTACATGGGAGGTAAAGGTTTTGATAGCCTATTTGATTTCTGAACTTTTGGAAATAGATTTGTGTTCTTTTAATCCACTTTGGATTGCTGGTTTTAAGTTTTTCTATAGACAGACGTCATAAATAGATTGAAATTAGTTTGTCAAACTGCTATACTGCTTTTGGCATACCTGTGAATGCATGTATAAAAAAATATTACTTCCACATATTGCTTTTGTCTGTCATAGTTGTATATATGATCTATGTAAGAAAATTACAATCTTGGCATAATCAGCCCTTATAGTAGTATTAGTGTGTATATTTGAAACACTTGTATATAAACTACATAAGATCCCAAGTACTAAAGTTGAGGTAAAATTGGGAGGTGTCTTGGCCTCTCAATATTACAAGTGCTAAGCTAAATAATATTGAATGAAAATTATATCTCATAAAAAAGAACATGAAGACTATCAGGGTATAAAAGCAATAATAATTTCAAACATTCTTGGTAAGAATCTATAGATGTTGAGTTTCATCTCCATCAAATTATGAATTATATTCTCTACCTTTTATAAGTAGACAAAATAGATATTATAAAGCTATAAAGAAACAGATACAGATGTAATAACTTCATGCTTGATTTTACTTGTTTTCAGCTGGCAAGCTGGATTATAATTTAGACAGGGCAAAGAAAATTGTAATGGTGAATGTATCCAACTTTCCCCAAGATCAAGATTATTATGTTCGCCTGTGCCACAAATGGTTTACCTGTGAAGATGTTGGGGCATTTGCTGTGGTGAGTTAAACTCATGGTGGTTTGGGGAACTGCTGGGGGGTGCCTTGCAGGTGGCAATGCTCATTAAGGTAACAGTTAAAGGAAATGCCATCTATCTATCTATCTATCTATCTATCTATCTATCTATCTATCTATCTCTCTATCTCTATCTCTATCTCTATCTCTCTAATATATATAATATATCTATATCTGTATTTATATCTATATCATCTATATCTATCTATATATCTATCCTTTAGCTTTATAAAAAGTCGTTTACCATTGACCATTTTTTTCATTTCAGATAAAAGGAAAGGAATCTTTTAAATCTGTTTCTCTGAAATATTCTCAGCTACTCCCTTGTCTTTGCATTGAGGTAATACAGTCTGGAACTTGGTATATATTTGTGTTTCTTATTAAAGAAATTTTATCAGGCATTGTGCTAAGAAAGGAGGAAAAACCTGAAAAAAGAGCTCTAGACCCAAGTTTTTGACTAAGGCTTTTTTTGAACATAGGCTTACGTAAATGTAAGGAAGAGATTTTTTAGGAAATGCTAATTAAAACATGACAATCAGAAGAAAATGAGATAAAATTTACAATAATTTATGGAATGTGTTGTGTAATATTATTTTGACTGATTTTTTTATAAACAATGAAAAGACAGAATACTTAATCTGACTGTATGTCAGCAGCATTTGATACAGTATTGCACAATAAACTAAAACAGGAATTGAGGAAACTGAGAGTGAGAACAAGATTTGAGTGGTAGATAAGACCTGGCTGCTGGGCTATCTCAGCAAATCCTGTTGGATGGGCCTGTGCTGGTAGGGAGGTTATTTAAGGATGATGCTTAGAGTCATTCTCATATAAATATTTTCACCAATGACACAGGCACAAAATGCAGAAATGTGTAATGGGATTTGCTGGAACACAGTTGGGATGTGCAATCAAAATGTAAGAGGATGAGAGTGATTGGAAGAGACTAGAGATCTTCATATGTGGCATAACTGAAGGATGATGAAGTGTTAAGTATGAAGTGCAAACTCATGCACTTGCTCTAATAAAAACAATTCTTGATGTAAGATGTGAGTCCTCATTTAGAAATAACAGTGGAAGAAAAATGATCTGGGTGAAATAGTTGATCACAGGGTTATTAACCAGCTTTCTTCTATGATGTAAAGATTAACAAGTCTAGTGAGTTAGATTATTCCAAGCTAACAAGAAAATATGGGCAAGGCCTTCTTTTGAAATCCTGTAAGGAATTATTGTATCCATATTCAAGAAAGATTAATTCGAAAGGAAGATGTACATAAAAAATTTGTAGTGTTTGGGGAATGAAGAGACTGTTTTACAAAGGAGATTCAAAGACCCTGTTTCCATTAGCCTCGTAAAAGACGTGCAAAGAGAAAATATGTTTGCTGTGTAAATACAGACCAGAAGGATCACTTATAAGGAAAAATAAGTTAGGTTTTAAACAGAAGTCATTCTTGCAATGAGGATGAAGGGGGATAAACTTCATTCCATGACTATATTCAGGTTAGTAACAGATTTTTCTCATAACCTGAGAAGTGAGATTTTGGAATGTCTTTCATGCAAGGATTAAAAGGCCTCAAACAAATTAACAATTATCTTGATAACATAGAAAGATACTATATGAACCTAGTTTTCTCACTGAATTTTGGGTTTGGATTTACTTTACAGATTAAGATATCTAAATGCAGATATCCAAATATAAATATCTACATTTGAATTAGGTGTCCAAATTCTTAAAACCAATGGAGATCTAATTAATGCAGTCAGTTGCTCAACTGACCTAAGGAAAAATGGCCCTTTTGGAATGTGCTGGACTGTACTGTAGATTCCACTGGCTAGGTCTTCATAAGGCTACTGTGACAGTAGTTTGGGCACTTTAGTCACACCTAGATGTGCACATTGTGGGACCTAAAATCACATACTTAAGCATATGCATGTGCACATATGCAAAGTGAACCACAAAGTCTCGTCCAAGCCTAGGGAATGTTTTCATTCCTCTCTGAAAATATGAGGTCACTAGAAAAATTTTATTCCTCTCAGTGTGTACACAGAAAATTCTGCAATAGGATCACTTAGCAAAGAGATGGGAATTCCAAATAACAGAAACATTTGCACATGAATCTAAATAAATAGGGCATAGCAGTAGCCATGCACATATACTTGAAGATTGGGTTAAATGTTAGTCTTCAGATTTTAAGGATGCATCTTTTACCATTGCCCAGGCCAAGAGATCTTATGATTACTGAATGTTTTGATTCCCCTAGAAAGTAATGACACTATAAGAAACTTACTGATAATCAGACTAGAAGACTTTCTAAATGCAAATGGACCAAATGTATGACTTAGAAATAGTAGGAAGATAGTGTTAGAAGGGATCACCTTAGCTCAATGCCCCTAATGATGAGCAACAAAATGAAAAAATAGGGCAAAACTTATTTTGAAAAATGACTTCCAAAGCTTTCTAACAAACATAGCATCCTTATCTTTGGCAGGAAACATTTCTGTCACATTCTACCCAAAATGCTAAAAACACGTGTCTGACAACCTCTAACTGATGTCCACTGTTTGGTTGTAGGGTTGGCTGGCACTTCCAGATGCAAGGAGAATACAACTTTGTCCCTTTGAAAATGGCAAGTAGTGCATGATTACTCTTTATAGGAGTAACTTTCAGCAGCTCCATTAGTATGTCACAATATAATACAGTGAAAATCATGCATTGCAAAACTTCAAGGAAATAATCATATTGGTTTGTTTAACTGTGGGAAGATGAAATAACTTACTTTCAGACCAAATAGCTCACCAAGTTCATGCCAACATAAACAGTAAGTAACTTTCTAGTCATTTCCCACATTTTCTTAAGTGGCATGCAAGCTGGCCAGAAGGAATAAAAGGTCAGCTTAGAAACGGTGTGAGAAGAGGAGACATTTGAAGGTGTCCAATTCCCAGCTTAAAGGAGGGAGCAAGGAGTTGAAAAAGGAGACAGTTAACTACATGTGAGTTCCATGCTTAACAGGAAATTATTCACACAAATATTCCAGCAGTGTCAGGAATTGGTTTGAGATGACAGCTCAGAAAGAAACAGAAAAACAGGAAAAAAAATTACCTTATTTACACATATATGAAAGTAAATCTTTTACCAGGGAAATAGAAAAAAGCATGGCCTAAAAAGTGTTTTATTGTGCTAAGTCCAAGATTTTGATTTAAAGCACATGTAGAGGTACCGGACCTATAAACTATGTTGATTCCCGTCTGGATGTTTTGAATAATGTTTTCCCTCTCTCTTTGTGCACAGATACACAGGTGCTATGGGCCAATATTGTTTATAACCCATTGACACAAACCCTTGCTTGGGAGCCAGCCTGTCCCGTCCTTGTCATGGTTAACCTATGCAGGTTCATCAAGTCGAATGACCATTGTGAAGATATAGAGAACACTTTCAAAAATTCTCCTGAGAAAGTAAGAGCTGTGTGGATTAATTCAAACTGTGAGATTCAAAGGCATCACCAAAGGCATAATGTGAAGAGCTAGACTTTGGAATAAGAGCAGTTACAAATTCCTCTCTTCTCTGATACTTAAAACTATTCATAGTCATAGTCTTTTCTGGCACATTAATCACATGATTTATTCAAAATAGTCACTGACTCATTATAAAGAAATAAAAAGTGGAGTTCACTGGGCAGCTCTTCATGTTTGCTAAATTCTTTGGGGTAAATAGGATCTGCTTTTTATTTATAGTTCATGTCAGTTTCTCTTTAAAGTAAAGGAGACAGGCACATTGAGGGGACAACTCTTCTCATCTATAGACAGGCATAATAGGTTGGAGTGATTTCTCTGTGATGGTACCACCTTCTTTTGACTGTCACAAGAGTCTCTTGTGACTAGATCAGATTTAGATATTTAACATTTAGACATAAAAAATATAAATTAGATGAAGCTAAATCTCTTTAAATATTTCTCAAGACATAACAGTACTTTGATAGGGCACTTTTGTTTTGTAATTAAGATCTTTCTGAAGTGCCTTCCTCAACCTGGTCCAATGTCTTGAAAAGCTGGATGCTGAAATATTGTGTCCCTTAGTTCTTCCAGCACTTATTTTCTCAAGTTGAGAAGGGTTTTCAAATGCATATGTCTTGTGTGGCTTAACGCTTCAATCTGAAATCTGATGTTACTGAATGCTCTGGGTTTTTGAGGTTCATTAGAATTTGTTTCATCCTGAAAAGTACATTTCAGGCTTGCCTGATTGTGGAGAGAAGGCAGTAAACTTAAAGTAACAATTGAAAAGGCAAATAAAATAAACCACAAGATATTAATTCTGAAACCTTTGGATTAATGTTATTATTCTGATGACATGATTGGGGAGGTGGTAGGGCTGACTCAAGACTATCGAATGCTTTTATGATTAGGAACTCCTGGCCAAGCCTTTAGTGATTGTTCAGATTCATCATTTATGAGTTCCAACAAAGCTTTGATCTTGAAAAACAGATTAATTTAATTCTAGAGGAGAGTGATCCCTGTGAGATTATTCATCTGCTGGCAGCAAATACAATTCATTGCTTGCAGGAGAGAAAAAGAAAAAAAAAGAAAATAAGACTAAAATGGGGTCTGGCTGGTAATGGTTGTATCTGTTACCAGAACAGAACCCAAATTTATTGTAGAGTATGAGGGTTTTTCTGAATTTACTGATTACATTTAATGACATTAATTTTAATCATAGAACCATAGAGTATTATGAGCTGGAAGGGATCCACAAGGATCATCAACATTCATGGATGGAATTAATTATCTTTTTTCCCATCATTAATTCTAACAAGTTTGATATTGAATTTGGTCCATTTATTATGGTACTGTACCCTGAAAACCATCGCTGTAGTATGCTGGAAACTGCTGCAGATTCCTCAGATAAGGCCAGCTGCCCTGTAAATCCACACAAGGCCACACACTAATACTGTGCACATGTACTGACTTAGGCACAAAAGCTGCACCCTTCCTCTTTACTGAGGCTGGGGCTTTCTCTGTCAATGACAACGCTGTCTCCAGGCCTGAGTAGACTCCTACAGAACTGTCTCCTGGGACAACGTTGTTATGTTCTCAAAAGAAGTTACAGGAAGGGTTTGGTTGTGTATTGTGCTCGGTCACTTGAGCAACAGGGTTTATTTAGGTAGGATCACTTATATGTGTAGCAATTGTTTATATAAGACAAGGCTTTTCATGGTGAAGCCCTTGGTGAGTAAACAGTTATTAATCAAGAAAACAGCATTTTGTGGATTGCTTAAGTGGATTTATGAACTTCAGCCTATGTTTCACTGTTCTGAAATATGAGTATGGAAAATTGAAAGATTTCTCCACTGAAGGTGGAATACTTTTGGATGTATATTTAAGTATTCTGCTGAGTTGTTTATGTGTGGCAAATAAGGGGTTGGTACAAGATGACTGTGTAATTTTGCACAAGCCACCATAGAATCAATTAATTTGGCTCAAAGGGGTCAGGCTGACCATAAAAAATGCTACATGTTGCAGATAAAAAGAAGCAAACTATTCAGTAACCCAAAGCAGCAGTTGCTTTTAATCATTTTATGTGATTAACTTCCTGGTATGTTTATGAAGTAAACAAGTCAGTTGCCTTCTCAGTAATCAAACCATGAAAATTTTCAGTAGTTGATTTTGTGAAACTAGTCAGTAAAACTAGCTAATGCTGAGTGCTCTGTCTTCCAGCAGGTTAAATATTCTCGTGTGGATACTCACCCAAGACTTTGCATGAAGGTAATGGAATTTCTTTGTAAAACATATATTTACTGCCCTTCTGTCTCTAAAATAAATGAGCTAGTGATGTTATTTATGATTAATATTTTGTTTCATAGCTCTGATGAATGGGAACTGAGAAGTAAGGAATAGTGAAAGATTAGATTAGAAGGTGATTGTTTTGAAGTACAACAGCAGTGATAGATAGGACACAGGTCAGATTGTTCTTTTCCTTTTTCCTTTCTAAAAAAAGCAGTAAAAGATATTTTTAGTCAATGGAAACTCTGAAGAACGCTGAAGTGCTAAACTTTATATGTTAAATTTTTCATAGTAAATATTTGAAAATGAAATTATCAATACAGTACACTTAATGGAGAATCTCTTACTATTGTAGTTGAAAAAAAAAAACCAAATAAGGCTAATACAGGCATATTACTGTTTTCTTTCAGTTTACTTTTAAGTCAGTGGAACCAGATATTTCTGTAAAATATGCATGATTATAAATACCTGAAGAATTAGGGAATCTAATTTAAGTCAAGTGTTGGAAGATACCATAAAGCAGGAAAGGTGTGAATTAATCCTCTTCAACTTTCTGGAATGCCCCGAACATCACTAGTTGAATATTTTGTCACATCAGTTTGAAACGGAAAATTCAGTTTTCCTGACAGATTTCTCTACTTTCAGTTTACAACCAAACGAGGATCTTGGATTAAATGTCCATTTGCTCATGGAGAATTTCCAGGTAAATATACAGTTTCAAAATTGCATAACATTATATTGTGGAAAATATTTATACCACTAGATATGAGCTGTCTCTTTTATGTGAGAGGTGTTTACAACACTGTAAATTGTAAACTAAGTCAAAGAGATTTGACAGCTTGTTACTTCTATGTATCCTCAGTATATCTGGTGTTCATCAGTATAAAAAATAACTTGTAGGAATCAAAATAATTGCATATCATTTGATAGAACTTAAAAATACAAAAAGCTTTTATTTTAGGCATAAATTTTAGAATATAATGTATAGTCCTTGTACATCTAAAAGTAAGTGTTTTCCCCTAATATCAGCCTGGAAAATGAGAACTGCTGCAGTTGCAGAACAAATACAAGTTTTCTTCACATCCCAAAGCAAGGCACGGTTCTCAGTGCTTGTGTGTAACAGGACGCAGATGGCTTCGTGTGAATCACTTGAGATGCACCATTCAGTCTCTGTGGTTTGTATATATTATTTCTTAAACATTGTAAGACTTTTAAACAAACCTAACTTCATTAATTTATTATTCCATATATTGTTATGCAGCTTGAATCCATTAATAAACCATGTACATATTGGAACAATTACCGGAACATTTTAAAAGCATGTAGTTCTCAATCTGATCTCATACTGAAACAAGAAATAAATAAAGATCCTGAAGTCAAATGAGCCACATCAAAGGATGTGACTACTGAGTGGAACCTTAATATTCTTTTAATGTCATTTTTGTAGTGTGGTATTTGTATTATGTATATAGCAAATGTTACTATTTTAATATTTCGTATATGGATCACTGATATTGCTGACCTGGCAAACCACACATCATGAAATGTAAGACTTGAGACATCAATCCATGATGAACTCTAAATGTCACAGCTGCCAATACAAACTCAACATGCAAAAAGGCTTTGTTTTCAGCCAAGTTATCTTTTTGAGCCAGCTGATTGTGTGGCTACACAACTGCTTCTTCCAGCAAAGTGAGGGCAAAGCGTGAAAAGGTTATGGGAGGGTGAGATTTCAGTTTCAGGCAGCAGCTAGCCATGACAGCCTCATTCCTCTCTTGCAACTTAGTCTACACATTTTCAGTGCTGCACTGTGGTTTGTCCTTTAACCTTGCCTCTATCAGTTACCTTTTTGACACAAACTATAATCTACTGATAGACACATCTGGAAAGTGAGGTCAAAGAGCACAAGAGTGGCCATGGCATTATTTTTCAAGCAGAAGAATATTAGCAGGATAGATGCTCGTAGCTACTAGGACCACCATACTAAAAGACATCCATCTGGTTCAGCAGCCAGCTCCTCAGTAGTCTCATGTCCACTGCTAAATATGTGCTCCTGCTGTCTGCTTCCCTGAGCAGGTATATGAGATGGCATATGATGAATTTTGAGAAATTTGAGAAATCTAGATATTGTGATTTGAATTGTTACTTCTGGCTATGCCGGTTGACTTTGCTCTGCTGTAGGGGGATGTGCTTTAGAACACACAAACATAGCTCCTACTGCTGTCCTCTCTTTAAGGTATATTCAAGCTGTACTTATTTGCCATTATGCAGGGACACAACGGAACTGTGTCTATTTCAGGTACTTGTGATTCTTCACAAGTGAGAAGGGTGCACATACTAGGGCTTTGCTGATGACCAGGCAGCTATGAACAAGGATTTCTTAAACATAATGGGCTGGACCCTGAATGCTGAATTTGTTTTCTAATGAATCAGTTCAGATTGTTATTGCACCTCTGGTGCTGAATGTAACAGAACAGCTGTTAAAAGCAGAATTTTCCAACTCAGCTCAGTCTGAGGACATGCATAACTTGCTCCTCTAGGAGACCCCAGAGCTGAATAATCATGGGGAAAGGCCTGGGAAAAAACAGCTACCCTAATTAACACAGACCACAGAGGGCAGGCATTGGTGGTAATATCAAGAGCCTAACGGGAAAAGCTGTCTGGAAAATGCTGTATTACTGGCAGAAATGGAGATCTGTACAGTAGAAGAGTTGTCAACACTCAGGGAATGTTCAGTAGCACTTCCCTTCAACTGGTCTATTTCACATGAAATCTGTGGAGTATATACTTTCTGGTTTTAGAGGTTCCCTGTGTGAATTGCTAAGTGAAAGGGGTAATGGTGGAGCACCAATAAATTACAGCTAGATATTGAAGTGTGTGTTTCATGAAGGCACTGATGCATTTAAAAAATGCTGTTTTCTTCCCTGTGGTACAAAGCTGTTGTGTCCTCTGCTACCGTGACAGAATCGGACCCCTCATGAATTACATAAATTCCTGTCTCAACATCATGATCAATATAGACAAAGCTCTTATCAAGACCTAACTCTGTGTTCCCAGAAACCAATGTTGATTCTCTAACTATTAATTTGTCTTGGGTCGTCCTTGAAAAAAAATACAGTCACCTAATTTCCCCCAAATTACTTTAGGAGTTTGCCACGCTGAAGAGAGTGGTGTGGGATTCATAGCTATTGGTGGAGTAACAAACAATATTTTGAGGACAAACCATAATCAATAAAATATTAAATGTCAAGCCAGTCATTTAGGACAATTTTACCCTAAGGCTCAGTTTGTTCTCTGCATACAATGGGATGGGAAGTCCAGAAGAACTGTAAAGACAGGGTCATTCCTTCAGCTCATACACCAGGGAAAAAAATGAAGATGGTGGGAGGAAGCAAACAGTTGTTTTTGGGGAGAGTGTCCTCCTTATGATGCTCCATAAAATGCAGCAACATTAACCCTCTTCCTGTGCTGCTGTACTGTGCTTGGCAAAACTATACCAGCTGCTTATGGTCCTTGAGATCTGGAGTTATCTCTGAAAATAAATAACCTTCCATTAATTTTCTAACACAGTAGAACCTGTAGCATTATTGGAAACCAAAGCAAAGAGCTCAAGAGATGCAGTATGTTTTCATTGTTCCAGGGTATGGAAAATAGTGATTTTCACCTTCTTTTTTTTATTCATTAGGGAGATTCTGTTTCAATCAATGTGTCAAGGGAAATGTGTGGGTCAACAATTTGCATTCAGGTATGTGTCTTGTTTTTACCAGGTACCCTGTGCAAAAAAACCCCTAATAAACAAATCATTGGAAAACCAAGGAAACCAGCAGGTAGTCTCACTGCTTTCTCCTCCCAGCTAAATCTGTTTACTGTAAAAATCGATTTGGCAAAGAGCATTATTTATAGCTTGGTATGCTGCCACCACCTCTCTTTGAGGTGACATTAATTAACTGAGAAGTTGCTCTCCATGATCTTGCTCCTTTGTCAGTGGCAGATAAAAGGATATCATCAGGATATTGCTAATTTTGTCTTTACATGTTCCTTAAGAAAAAAAAAAAAGATCCAAGCTATCAAAAGATCCAAGTAAATAATAGATGAATTTTCAAAAATAGACATTGACTAGAAAAGGTGAGGCATACAGTAAATAGCACAGCAAGTGCATGGTGTCCTAGAATTAGAACGCAGGAAAGTAGAACCGAGCAAATTATTTCTGATATTTCTGCACACTATTTCCATAGGTGAAGTTTATTAAGAAATTTTATTCATAGAAAATGAGCATGAAGCTGATAGGTTTATTCCTCTCTGGAGTTAATTTTCCCAGCAGACACTGAGAGAAATGAGAGTGGAGCTCTGAGGCTCTAGTGGCTGCCCTGGAAGGCCCTTCTCAGCTTCACTTTCTGCTGCTGGGAAGAAAGAGGCAAAATGAAAATGAGATTGGCAAGAGCCTTCTGAGTAATGAGAGTAGTAGGTCTTTCCCGACTGAGAAATGAAATTTGCTGGGGAGACTGATAATTTCCTGCATAAATTATTTATTTTGTAAATAAGACATTATCTCCCAGACAACAATAACAAAAAAATTTGATTAGCTCAATCATTTAGTGACCTAAAAGTGATTGCAACTCAGTAATATACACTAGACCAGCAATCTCCATGTGTTTATTTAAAAACAGATTTACAATGCAGTCACTTGAGTGACTCGTTTTGTCAACACAAGTGCTGAGTAACAGCTCTGCTGAAAGGGGGAATAAGCCTCAATTCTTTCTTTTAAAAGGGCTGGAGAACAGATGTAGATTATTCAGTCCCACTGCAGATCTGCGATACCTACTGTGGTAAGTACACATTAAAAAAAGAAGCATCGAGTCTTGATTCTGTAGAAGAGAACATTTCAGGTCAAGTGTGTTTTCACTGGGAAACTGAGGTGGGATTCACCTGACTGAATGTGCATGCATCTAGCTGTGCATGACAGCTGGATATGTTCAAATTCCTTTATAGACAGTGGGCTCAGATATCTCATGAGCTACTTTAGTTAGCTCTGCTAGGGCAACTTGTGTGGCTGGCTGCTGCCTCTGCTTCCTGGGTGAATTTTCCACCCTGTGCCAGGTTCTGTGTGTCACACCTATATTTACCTTGCTGTCAGGACATGAGGTAACTAGTTAAAAACACACCTTGGCAAGAGGCACACACTGCTGCCATTGCAGTGACTGCAGCACAGCCCTGCAGTCAGTTCCCCACCTCTGCAAATGGGAGAGCAGCATTTCCCTCCACTTCCCAGCACGTAGAAATTTGCTTCTGGATGTTGTTATTATTATGATTTGAGGCACATTCAAATATACTATGGAGTCAGAATATTCTAAAATTGCCAAGCCCTGAATGTAAGGCGTTGTAGAAGTTAGTGAGTTCAAAGCAAATTAAGGCTGTGGGGTTTATGGTGAACACTACAACAGTGGATTGACTAATTTAGAACTAAAAAGTCTAAAAGGAATCATGTGAGAGAAGCCTCAATCTGAGCATTGCCAAAAACACTTTCCCAAACTCACTCACTCAACCAACCAACCAACCAACCAACCAACCAACCAACCAACCAACCAACATCCCCTTCTAGTTCACTGAAATATAATAAGTTCTGTGACAGATTTTCCCTGTTGTCTAAAAACACCTGTCAGTTAATTACAGCTTTAGATTTGGAAGCCTGATAATAAAAAGAAGGGAGCTTGAATTTGTAGGCTGAATGTAGTTCCCAGTGTAATAATTTGTATAATGCCAGCTCAGGTTTCTTCTCCACTGAAAAACTTGTAATAAGCCCGCTCAAGATGAATAAACTAAATAATCAGAGTGTTGAGGTTCACACAATGTGGATGCATTCTTATTTTTCTTATTTTCCATTTAACAAATGTGGAGTATGACAAAAGCATATGAAATAATTAAAAGCTTTAGAGATGACAGCCTGGGACTTTTCCTGCACCTCATGGTAGGAGAGAATGTGTCTGTGTAGTAAATGAAAATAGCAGGATGTTGAAAGCTGACTAAAGAACTTTTTGTCACAAGTTTGTTTATTTGTTTTGTTTGGTTTTGTTTTGTTCGTATTTTTGTGTGTGTGTGCGTTTTGTTTTTTTGGTTTTTTTTTTTTTTCTGATTAGGAATTTGTGGAGATTCAGAAAAAAAAAGGACAAAATGTTCACTTATCAAGAATATCAGAACTTTAATAAGTGATCACTGTGTTTGCTGTACATTAACCTCATGCTTCATGCTTCATATCCTTCATGCTTCATAAATCCACAATTTATGGTTTCAGGATAATGTGATCTACATTAGTTGGTACCTACACTGATAAATCCATCTTTATCTGTGGACCAGTTCCCAAAACTTCCCTGTAAAGAAGATGGTACAAGTCAGTGTCAGAGGTGGGACACTGAACTGGGTTGCTCTGTCTCACTGCAATAATTTCAATGCTCTTAATGACTCATTGGAAGCCACCAGCTGCTTCTCAGGTGTAAGGTTTTTAAGGTATCTGTAATAGCAAAACTACTAAGGACTTTTGCATTCTTAAATGCATATTTTCTACAACAAAGGTATTTCTTAAACACTAGCCTTTTAAAATCAGGACATGATGAAAGGTTCTTAAAAGTCACCGAGGAGGGTAATTGTTTCACTGGGATGCCTAAAATGTTAAGAAAACCATCCATGAAAAGGTGAAGACTATTAACCTTGAGATTTTCCCATAATCTGTGACAATATGATTTATATGTAGTCAAAGCAAATGACAAATAATCTTGTAATGACATAGTGAAATAGTGAAAATAAATACTATGCACATCTTTGTAAAATAGAGATGTTCATGTTAAGTGTTACTATTCAAGATACCAAGCATTGTCAGTATGTCCAGAAGACTCATGATGTTATTAAAAAACAAGACTCCAGTCATAACATCTAAACATAACAACATATAAAAAAGTCAGTCTAACCATTAGGAAGGCTGCTCCTTACCCAGGCTTCAAGAAGAGCTTTCTGGCATGTAGAAATTATTATTCTACAATGTATTGCATTTTTCTATAAGTAGCTGTGCTTTGGGAATTACAATGGCTTGGTCTTGTTTACTCTATAAAGAATGGAAATGGGAAAATAATGTGGGGTTTTTTAAAATTTGCATTTAATAGCATTGACTTGGAGGCAAAACTTTGTGTTCCCTTTAAATTTTCTATTTTCTTTGACCACTTTTCTGGATTCTATTTAATAAAGCCAAGCATTTTGAGACATAATTTCATGTATAAAATAAGAAACTTATGTATTTTGTATGAAACAATAACCCATATCAGTTACTCTGAGAATAAAGATGTGAATCATAATGCAAACAAATGGCAAGCTATATTTGAACTTGTTCCCTCAGGTTTTCGTGGCCAGTCACACAGTGATGGAAACCCAGCAAAGGCCATGACACACAGGTATCCATCTAATGTAAAGTTTAAAACATCTGTGGGAATGAATGGAGTTTTTAATCTTGAAACCATATCATTGTTCTGCTACAGGCACAGAAGGAATACCTGAATGAAATTTTATATAGCTAGAAACATCAGGTTCTTAACTCTCCCTTTCCCACCTAAGACATTCCTTGCTTCTGTGCTCTCTTCCCTTGTTTCTCTCTTTGCAATTTAGTCTGGAATCAGAGGTAGCTGCCTGGCTGCCAAAGTGAAGAGAAAGGGAGGCAAATAACCAGTGGAAGTGAGAAGTTTGCAAAATAACAACACAACCTTCAAGAGCCCTGAAACAATCTCAGATGTGCTGTGCACGATACATTATTAGCACCTGTCCCCTGCTTTCTCACTGATGTTTGCATGCAGATCAGATCCCTCTGTGCTGTCACTGATTAGACATATCTGCTCAGTTATTCCAGTGCTGCTTCTTATTGCCACAGTCCCTTGCAAAACACCTGTCCAAGGCTACAGACAAATCAGTAAATAATGCAGCCCATGGAGGTACAATTTGGTAGACCCTAAACCCTTAAAAATTCTCTTCCTTTAAGGTTACCTTTAAGAGCCAACCTAGAAGAGTGGGAGCTACCTAGAATTCCAGAGAAAATAGAGATGATCTGAAAAAGCCTTGTTCAAAGATGGGGAATAGATGCAGCCTTGCAAAAGCTCTGCAAATCATATGGTTGAGAAGGGGCTACCATCCATGCTTTGTGGCAGTCTTTGGCTTTTCCCTTACAGAATAAAGTGTCCTGGTTTTGTTTATTTGTTCATATAAACAGTGTTTGAACTGTGACAGTCAAGTACACAAGCTGTAGACAAATGGTGAGATATGTTATTTTACACCAACTATATATGAATGTAATGAACTTTTTCACTTTGGAGAAAATAACCTCACAACAATCTTCTTTCCTCTTCTGTTTTTTCTCCTAGGATGAAGAGTGTGCAGTCCTTGCACTGAATTTAACAACATGTTTTCAAGGTCCTCAGTATCCTCTCAACATTGTATTTTGATGCAACTTGCAAATCTTGTCTAACTGGTCATCTCTCATGATTATAGTTTCTAATTCCCATGAGATTATTCTCATGAGTGAAGAATTTAGCAAATTGAGCCTACTCTAATATGACAAATTCAGATTATGATTCCTTATTTCCCAGTATTAAAAAAAGGATGTCTTAAATCACTTAGAAAATCAGGTCCACATTTCCCATCTGAAGTAGTATTTTATACAAAACATGCTCTGAGTACTTTCAGAGTACTTTGTGTTTCTACAGAACAAGTATTTCAGATTTTCTTGTTTGTAACCTTCATTTTTAAACCATAAGCAATAGTTTTTGAGAGCTGAAGAATGGAGGAAGTTTTCTCAGCTTTGATACATTATTCTTTGCAATTTCCCATCTTGATTTTCTCATGCCATTCTGATCTCACCATGACAGACCATGTTCTTTAAGTATGTCTAACAACTGCTTTCTGTGTTTGCATTTGTGTTTGCCTTGGAGATAATTTGCCTATTTGTCTGAGGTGGCACATGTCTTTGGTTTGATAGCTATTTAAAACTGTCTTGTGGAAATCTGGTCTAGAAGGAAACAGTTTAATGGAAATAATGGGAATATTTTTTCTCATTATATCAGTATTTTCATGCAATTGTTTGGGATAATATTACACACTGTACTGATTATCAAATATTTGGCCCTTATTTCACTGAATAGTCCCGTCAAACATCCTTCCTGTTGTGTAACATTGGAATAAAGTCAAATAAAAGATGATTAATAGCATATCCTGAAACCATGTGGAACTGATCATGTGAGATCAGGAATATGGGTAAGGAGTAAGGGTCTGGCACAAGAAGTTGATCAATAAAAAATATTTTCCGTCTGAATCTGTGAGGTTTTAAAATTTCTTTTGTTTTGTTTCAAGACATTCATTGACACACTTACAGACTACAGTATAAGAGACATATCCACTGCATTTAAACACAGGAATTTTTGAGGTGCCCTGGAGTGGTCAAGCTCTGCTTGACTCCTTTGATATAAAACCTTTATTGTTTAGACTGCACAGCTGTTAGATCTATTCTCATTCCTAGCAGTGCTGCAGCTCCAAAAGCAGAGGTGGCAGGGCACCATTCCTAAAGCACTTGGTTACTATCTTTGTCTGTGAAGTTGAAGCTCCGACCTATCCAGACACACCTGATTTTCCTCTAATACCCTTCAGGCTTCAGCCAGAAACAAGACACTTGGCCATCCAGCTGAGAGAGCATCATTACACTATATTCACTTCCTTCCAATGGAAAAGTCTTTCCTACAGGAAATGTTGATTTGTACTTTATTTTTATTGCCATGATATCTTAAGATCAACTTTCTGAGTAAAATAAAGACTGAAATTCTCAGAATTCTCATTCTGAAAATGAGTTAAAATGATAGATGTATCTAAGGCTAAAGCAGAACACCACCTCCAAAGACAAGCTCATCTGAGATCCTGAAGCAGCAACAGCTGTACTAAGCTCTATGCTTTCAGTGAGAAAGTCCTGTTTCAGCTGCACAGATGCTGACTCTTTTGTAGTATATTATCTCTTGTTGGTTGTAGTGCTGAAAATACCAAAAAGAATATGACCAAGCATGGTCCTGTTTTACAGGAAAATTTGGATGGTGGACATAGCAGACATCACTTAACCTGAAAGTAAAGTGTTCATCCTAAGATAGGCTCCCATGATGGCCACTGTGGAGAGACAGGTAGTTTCCAGGCATATCTCATTCATATTTCATTCTTGGATACTTGTTTTAAAGGGAGCCTAGGCAACTTCACCTAAATGCTTTCCATTACAACATTTCTGCTTACGGCAAATGTTTGCAAATAATCCTTAACAGATTTCTGTATTTTGGCTCAGGTCTGCCTGTTTGTATTTGTGTAGTGAGAAAATTTCTGGTAGCTATTCTGACTGACTCCCGAGCAGATCTGTATGAATCCTTTTCTAATATTCTGCTTCAGGCAAACATTGTCTCCTCTAATTACAAAATTCCTGCTCCCCCTGGGACCAGCTTTCCTGCTTTTCCAGATGGTGACTGGACCACCCCATACATGTAACATATTTGGAAGATGTTCCACTCAGGTATGGTATTTTCTAGGGAAGTTACAGCCTGTTCTGTTCTTGTGACTTCATAGCTGCAAAAGTAAAGGTGTTTACATTTTTTCACAAGACATTTTAAACACTGGTAGGTCAGTCCTGAAAGAAGCTAGTACTAAAATCTTTCCTAACCCTAAAAATATTCATTACACTCTGCTGACCACTGAGATGTTTTCTTTCTCTCACCCAAAATATGCAACAATTTTGCAATATTGACCAATGCACAAGTAAACATACTGTAGCAATAGTCAAATGCAAAAATCCCCTGTGTTGCTTATAGACTTGGCTAATTGTCCAGGCACTCCATTCTTTGTTGAAGGAAATTCCCTTCTTGCTTATTGTGAGCCCAGTATAAACATCCTATTTTGAGATAACCCACATGTATGTTTTTCATTTAATATCTACGTTCTTAGTATTATCATAGAGCATCAATGTCCCAGTTCTTCTGAGATCTTAGCATCTTAGCAGAGTATCACTGAGATATAGCAAAAACACTGATAAGATGCTTTTTAATAATCTTTCTAAGACTTTCTGTTATGTCTAGGGCATTGCACAAACCTGAAACTAACATTTAAAGTTAACACATAAATTAAAGCAATTTTGTTCCACTTACTTAGGGACTTATTTTCTTGCTATGCTGACATGTGGTCTGGTGTGGGAAACCAGCCTGGCACTGCTGCAGTATTCTTTATTTGCAGTAATGCATATATTTCCTTGATATCAGCAAGGTGCAGTTGAGTGCCATGCTTGAATTGCCACATCCCTCATTAGAGTAGCTGTATATTCACCAAGCTTTAACAACTGACACAGCAGAACTAATCCTGCTCTTCAGGATTTGTTCCTGACCTGTCTCTTTTTTGGACTTCTGAAAAACTAATTCAAGGAAATAAATGGGAAGAGAAATTATGACTACTTCTGTAGTCATAATTTCACTTCCTGGACTACAAAACCAGGCACTACAAAATGTGAGCCAGCAGAAGGGAAGCAGCCCAGCTTCAGGGGAGTGCAAACAGTTCTGTTCACTAGGTCCTTAGTTGGCAGGCTGACTGAATTGTCATACCTGACAATAGACTTCAACCTGAAGTCTAACACACCTGTGCCTAACAAACAGAAGGAAATGTATTTGCTTCAGTTTAGTGTGAAAAATTCCCCTTACTCATATCCTGTAACAGCTGGCCCAAAAAAATGGTGACTTTGTCTTATATCTCGTATCCCCTGTAAGTTTCTTTACTGTACACAGAAATATCTTTCCTAGTTAAAGAAAACAAGTTTTGTCTCTTATCCAGAAAGCCCTTTAGTACAAACATGTAAAGCTGCTGTGTTCAGTGAACAAGTCCAATAGCAATGATGGGAGCTATTCCTCCTATCCCCCTGCTGGTTTTCTACCACTTCAAGCCATTGCCAATATCGCTGGCTCATATTTTGCAGGAATAGGCCCTTTCATGTGGCACTAAGTGCCATTTTTGAAAAACTTTAACTACATGAACAAGTTCTGGAATTTGATTCACAAGCATTCTAGAAATTATTATTTTCTAGGAACTATCAGACAGATTAATTCTCCGTCTTATATAGGTCTAAATGACCTCTTAATCCAGTAAAATCAGGACACTTATCTACCGAGAAACAGATGATAATTTCTATAGACTACTTCTTTTAATACGTGAAATTTATCAGATTCCGTCATTGACTACATTCTAAACAATGACACCTAAACCATCCTCTTTTAAAGCTATATAAGTTCCCATCTAACTTCTAAAATTCAGTTCTCAAAATCAGCTGTGGATGGGATTGCTGTTCTCCATTGCTGTCTCCATGAGTGCTCTAAGGTTTTGCACCTTTTCATATCCTAGCCAATAGAATAGAAAAACTCTTGCCTTTGAGTTGATAGCCACTACTCTCATGTATTTCGCAGGTTCTAGTGTCTGACCACACACTGCAGAGATTTCCTGGCTTTGCTTACATTGCTTATATGCATTCAGAAACTGGATTTGTGCTTGATGAAGTTTTGTCATGAGAGATTCCCTGAAAGGATGTGTTTGGAAGTAGAAAGGATGAAAAGCAAAAAGAATGCCCAGAGACAGGATGAGGAGAATGTACTTAGGTACAGGTACAGGTAGGGAGGTGCACTCAGAAGGAAATGCTGTATATGAAGCCTGCAGAAGGAAGCCCATAAAGGACGAAGAATGATGTAGACATGCAAAAATCGAGGCAAGGGTGATTGGATGTGGGGCAAGGGAGATGGACTGGAGGACACAAAGACTGTGAGGCAGGAGAGGGTAGGGGGAGGTGAAGTTGGCCAGCCCAGGTGTGATTCACATTCCTGACTCACAGCTACTCCTCACTCAGAACCTCCAGGTAAAATGGGAAAATGAGTGGAGAGCAACCACAGATGTGCTGCTCTGCACCCAATATATACATTTTCCCTACCTGGTTGCTTCTCACCTTTATCCCTGTTATACACTATCTTGTACTCTTCTTCATGGGGCACACCACCAGGATGAACGGGAGGCAAACTGACCTAGAACCTCTCTGTATAACAGGGAGTCCTCTTCAGTGAGTCTATGGGCCTCTTACCTACGGGACTTCACAGTTTGTTGGATCTTTAACAAGTCATCTTACAACAGCCTGTGGAAACAGCCTGTCATTTGTATTCCTTTCTTCAATAATAACCGTCCTGCCAGTGGTGAGAGAAAGCAAAGGTGGTTCAAACAAGTGGAGAAACACCAAGGTGCACAACAGCCACACACCCTTGTTAGTTCCTTCATGACCATTTCCCCCCTTAAAACTAGTGAAACTTTACAGTGTTTTTTCTTTTTTTCTTTCTTTTTCATTACGTCAGTTTCCCTTTATTTTTTAGAAATAAATTTTCACTTTCTTTAGTTGCTTAATATTATAATGAATCTTACAGTATTGGACTTCT